TATTATTATATTATAATATTTTATATACATTGCTCTTTTAGGTATTTTGTGAAAATGTTAGGTATTTTGTGAAAATGTTAAATAGGAAAGATTAAGCTGCTTGAAATTTTAAAGTGAGTATAAAAATGTAATATATTTAAAGGATAAGGGGAAATGGTTCTGTTGTTAAAGTGATTGCCTTGCAAATAGGAGGACCTAAGGACAATCCCTAGAACCCATTTTTTTTTAAAGCCAAATGTGGTTGTGGAGCATACTTTTATTCCAGGTTGGGGAGGTAGAGGCAGGAGGGTCTCACCTCCCTCTGCTTCCCTGGGCTGCACAACCCACCAGCCTCCTTCCTGGATGCCGGGGCTGACCTTTCCTCTTCCTGATCCTTTGCATCCAGACCAACCCAGTTCTTCAGTTCAGTCCCCAGGAGCCCTTGGGGCCACTTCCCTCCCCCATCTCCCTTTTCATCTCTGGGTGGCATGGCCATCAGCTGCCCTAGACCAGCATCTTTCCTGGGCCCTGCTTCCAGGCCAGTCATAAAAACAACATGGTAGTGGCACAAAAATAGACCCACAGATCAATGGAACAAAATCGAAGACCCAAATATGAGTAAATGCAATTTCAGCCACCTCATATTTGACCAAGAGGTCAAGAATATTCACTGGAGGAAAGACGGCATGTTCAGCAAATGGTGCTGGCAAAACTGGATCTCCACCTGTAGAAGAATGAAACTAAATGTAGAAGAATGAAACTAACCCCTATCTTTCACCCTGCACAAAAATCAATTCCAAATGACTCAAAGACCTCAATGTAAAGCCTGAAACTCTGAAACTGCTAGAAGAAAACATTGGGAAAAACCTACAAGATATAGGTGTAGGAAAGGATTTTCTAAACCGGACATCAATCGCTCAGGAAACGGGCAAGAATTAACAAATGGCACCTCATGAAACTAGAAACCTTCTGTACATCAAAGGAGGCAACCAGGGAAGCAAACAGAAAACCCACAGAATGGGAGAAAATCTTCAGCAGCGACACATCAACTGACAGAGGTTTAATATCCAGAATCTATAATGAACTCAAAAAACAGAGAATCAGACAAGAAATAACCCATTTAAAAGATGGGCTAAGGCTTTCCTATCCTCAGGCCTCTTGGGCTAGGTCTATCGCGCAGCCCTCTGCTCCTTGACTCCCCCGGTCTCATTCACCCTTCCATCTCCCCTGCTGTTCTCTACTCCTAGTTTGGGCCCTGCGCCATTCCTAGTCTTGGGTCCCCAGACACCTGGGGAACCAATACTGCTTCCTGATCTTTTTCACCCAGACCAACTTAGTGCCTTCCTTAGGCCCCAGGAGCACTGCTTCTGGACCTGGCCC